AAAAAAAAAAGTACTTGAAGATACTTGTGAGCAACTAAAGACTGCTAAGTAATTGTCTCATACCCTCTAAGGATATGGTGTGCTCCCACTTAATGGGCACAAAGTAAAGGGTACATGGTACACCTCCTGTGTATAGGATGCAACTACGACAGGGACGTTACCTAACACCTGCAAAGATTGTAACCTAACCCTTTGTACCCTAATATTAGTCTGAAATTAAAAAAAGAAAGGAGGATATAGGCATAACTACCTCACTTCAAGTTACTCTCTGCTGCCATCAGAGGGATCTCTGAAACACAGTCCTCATCCCTTTGCTTAACCTGTGGGATTTTTCCCCCTGCAGGATGGGAACCCTTTCAGACAAGGCCACTCTTCTTCCTATCAACCTCCTCACTTATCCCGTCCCCCAGGCCACGTCTAACTACTTGAACCTCTCTCATCTTGGTGCCTTTGCCTATGTCTTCCCCTCTGCCTCGAATGCTCTTCCACCTGCTTGGCCAATCTCTTGAACAAAGAACTTGAAGCCTTGCCGCACCTCTCTAAGCTGTGCTTACACTATACTGGGCTCACTTTTCTCCAAGTGCTTAAGGCACGACATTGAACTGATTGGTTTACTTGAGTCCATCACACTAGAAACCAAGAACCGTGCATTAGTTATTTGTGCCTCTGGCAGTCAAGAAATGCTTATGGAGGGAAAGCCAGCAGTTCCAAGTCAAAGGGTGGGCATGTGTGGGAGCGACCCACTGAAGCCTCTACGGATTACTTTTCACTGTAAACAACGACCGCCTGGGGCAACTCAGTCTTGATCTTGGACAGGCTCTGGAGATCATCCGGGGATGTCAAGGCCTCAGCGTGGTGGGCTGTGATCTTGTGGAAGTTTCGCCTTTGTATGATCTTTCTGGTGAGTAAGCAAGAGCTGCTAGTTTAGTCTAAATTATATTAATGTAGTTAATAAGTAGAAAATGGAGGGTTCTCTTTGTAATACAAATTGGGGAACCTGCTAAGCATGTCCGACAGTGTGGAAAATAAGCCTGTTACTGCACACCTTACAAACATGAGCTAATTAACCCTAACAAAACCCTGGGGAGGTAGCTAAGTATTATTAGCTTGCCCACCAGTCAGCAGAAGAGAAAGAAACCTGCCTGCAGTTTAGCTAATGTGGCACGTTTATATGATTATCCTTTGATATTTTATTGAAAAGTGAATTCTGAAGCATAAATAATGTAGATTAATATTCATTAAGTGGAGAGCTAGCTGGTTAAGATCTGCAAAATAGGCTTGGCGCCTATAGCTCAACGGGCTAAGGCGCTAGCCACGTACACCTAAGGTGGCGGGTTCGAATCCCCAGCCCGGACTCGCCAAACAACAATGACAGCTGCAACCAAAAAAAAAATAGCCGGG